TGATTATTATATAAAAAGATTATATTTCTGAAAGTTTGATCATTTTTTAGCATTGAATAGATTGAATTATTACCATACTTACAGTTTACAGCTGATATTTGGACACATGGCAATCTTCGCCATATCCTCTTTCCATCCTTCCATCTTTCCATCTTTGATGAATGGTTTAGCAATATGGTCCACCACCATCTTCAAACTGGAGTTGTAAGAATTACAGTTACCATATGTTCTTGAACAACGCAATGGCAATGTGCACTTTTCATGACAGGACTCCCAACATTGTATACATATTGGTGTTAATATTTGATACTACTACTACTACCACTACTACTACTCCTACTTATGATTATAATACTAAATATAAACAACAATTAAAAATGATTTCACAATCTTCAATTTTTGTAAAAATAAAATGGGTCAATAGTTATGATAAAACTTGTTAATTCTATCCTCTAAAATCTAAAACATTAGGTTCAAATATATAATATCATAACAACAGGAGTTTTTCAGTATAAAAAAATTTTTGGGGAGTAAGTCATCATCTTACTTAGGAAACTGGGCTCCAAGGGAAGGCACATGCTTCAGAAGATGAGGCCTGAAAAAAGATATAGTTATATGTATCAAACAAAGATACTGGGTTTGGCTCACGCATGCACATAAAATGTTTACCCATGCTTAAAATAACTGATTTAAAAAAAAAGAGGCCTTGGATGAGAAGAAAATTATATAAGCTAATCTAAATATGAAAGAAATGAGATGTACTGTGTGTGTGTGTGTGTGTGTGTTGGAATTTAGAAAAAAACTAAAGTAAATAGCATTCTGCCACACCTTAGTAAGAGGTCAAAGGTCAGTCCTTTCTTCTCCAGTATTCCTAATCCTCTCTTCACATCCTCACGCGTCAGCCAGTCCTCCTTCTCGAAGTCCAATATATGGCGAGTGCCAACAAATTTGGGGTCCATGGAGAGTTCATCCAAAGTTTTCTCAAGCTGAAATAAGTAAAGTACTCTTTATACCTCTCCAAGATTTACATATACAGCATAAAGTCCACTGAAGGTGAATATATTCATGCAGGTGGTGCAAGACCATGCAAGTTAATAAGTAAACTCAAGAAGTGCAATGGCTGAATACCCTGTTGCATCACACATATATGTTTTGATTGCAATAAATCTTCTACAGAAAGAAAAAATGTCTAAATCTTTATAAACATCCATTACTGTAACACACTTACATCTGGGGAGGTCAGATCAATGCCACCTACAACCCCCTTCAAAAATGGATGCGTCTTTGCCAGTTTCAGAAGCCATTCTGAAAAATTGATAAATGAAATAATAAATTATGTAAATTTGCTTACGCTCAGCGAGAGTCCCCACAAAGTTGGTGTGTATGGGAATGGTGCCTTAATTAAATGGAAATAAATGCTGTGGTTTTGAATTTCCTCCATAAATGGTTGTATACAGTATACTGGGTAAAAAGGGAAAATCTTAATAACTTCAGCAAAAATGGTTTGATAAAGCTGATATATATTCAAACTTGACCTGTATTTAAGTGCTATTTCTTACTGTGGAAAGTTTGTAAATAATAAGTCACATGGTTTTTAATTTTCATGTTTACCTAGCTTGCATGTAGATAAGTTTGATACATGTATGAAAGACACATTATAGACACTCCGACAGGCAACAAGATGACAGTTGTGACCAATACAATCATTCTACTGAACCACTCCCTAGAGTGTCATCCTAACAGTTGGCCGAATCATGTTTGTTCAGAAGTTTACATGTAATGACAAAAAGATAAAGTGTATATACCTAACATGCCTTCACTTTTACACTGTAAAACAAAACAGGCAGGCCTACTTTTTTCACTCGAAGAACGGTAAAATGGGCCTCATTCTTATTCATTGTGTTACCAAGGATTGCATGCACTTAAATAAAAAATTGAAATAGAAAGAAAAAATGGTCTGATAATGCTGATATTAAAATTTGGCCTTTACTTTAATGGGATGGAATGCTTTGGTAAGTTTGAGGATGTTAAGTCATTTTTTTGTGTTATCAAGATTTACCTATTTTAGTATAATGTATGCTGAAAAAATTTAAAAAGCCACAATAATTTTAGCAAAAATGGTGAAATCAAACTGCCATTCAAACTTGACCTGTATTTTAGTGCTATAAATCACTCCAGTAACAATGAGGATAATAAGTCACACATTATTTTCCATTTACATACACAGAAACAAAGTCAATGATGATGCCAGATGAAAGACATACAGCTATGCACATACCCTAGTTTAATATGTCTGTACATAAAAAGTAAAATCCAGTTTAAAAAAAAAATACAGCTTTTAAAAAATTATCAAGACAGCATAAACTTGAAAAGCACTTGGTGGGTACAGTATATAGGAGCAGGATATTTTCATTACATCTAATTTCACCGGTTTCATTACATCAGACAGTCAGCTTGGATGTTTCTCACAGGGGTTAATATTGTATTTTGTATACTATTTTAGAAGCCCCTAATATCAGAGGGCAGCTTGGAAGCACAGGTACTCACTGGTCTCCTCAGGGCAGTTATTGAGCACCTGTATAAAAACAGCATGTCTGAAGGGTGTGTCTCTGGTCTCCTCTGCATACTCCTCTATGTTGATATCCCTGAACAGTACTGGCACATCAGCATCGGGCCAGGCATACTGGAATTTCTTCAATTTCCAGAGATCTGGAGTTAAGAAAGATTTTTATTCCATCTCAATAAAATATTTTGACATAAATATATGTTTTTATTATCCATGTTTATATATAATCAAAGGCAGATTGAGAGAAACATAGTGGCACATATGCCCCCCCCCCCCCCAAATTTGTACTAATTTGTACATCTGGCAAACCTATTAAATGGTAAGCATTTTTCCTCCCCCAACCTCAATTATTCATAAATTAAAACAAAACCCCCTACACCACTTAATTGTTTCCATCATCCATAAATCTCTCAATTTGTAAAATTAACTCCCAAAATCTCATTATATCCCTTTAATATAGACCAAGTTATTAGAAATACAGCAAAAAATTATTTTTCATTTACATTCTCTTAATAAATAACTTTTTGTTTCATAATATACTGTAGAATTTTGTATATACTGCATTGTACGTGTTACAATATTAAAATGATACTCCAGTGACTGTGCACCCTTGAAACGTGTACGTATTGTATTAAGTTACAAAACTGTACTGATGTAGTGTATCTTTTTGTATTTGTAATATGCCTTTTTGATCCTGTGATGTATTGTATGTTCTTGTATGTTTGTATACATTGTAACGTGTTGTATTGTGTTTGTGTATGCTTAATAAAAAAAAAAACTTTTTGTTTCATTTGCCTGAAAATGCCTCCTATTTGACCTCAGGTGATCTCATTTGTTTAAGCAGGTTATATTCAATATTATAAAACTCTACTGATTTCTTTAGAACTATCCTTCAGCTGCATAATGATACATTAATTATTGTCTTACCATATCATTTTTTTATATGGCCATATAAGCAGGGTGTTACATAAAGACCATTAAGGAAAGCTACTGATTTGAAAGTTGTCCCACACATAATCTGATTTCAGACTAAATGAGCTTTCACATGATTGGTAGCAACAAATCCAAAATTTAAGGGTCAACCTGAAGGACTATTAATTAGGAGTTTAGGAGTACCGAGTGCATGAATAGATTGATATATTTATAATTATCATAAATCCCCCCCCCCCCAATTACCAAGCTTACTTTAAAAAAATTCAAGTGTTTCTTAGTTTGTATTGGAATATTCATAATTTCAATCAAAACTTTAAATACTAAAACAAATTAATAACTCACGAAAATGTGTATCCACCAGATCTGTCAAGTCCATCTCTGTCATCTCCCCCTTTCTTCCCTTGGCAAATTAGTAGAAAAAGGGCATTTAATTCACTGAGAACATGTACAGTATGATCCATCATGTAGTCTACTTATAGGTACAAGTACAGTTTAATTCATACTAGTACATATATATACACTGTGTATGCTAGCTAGTCGTAATGAATGAAACAATACTACTGCTAGTACATGCACTAGTATATATAGTAGTGATAGTATAAATGAACATCTTAATTAAATAACATATACCTGTAATCACTAGTAATATTTGATAACATAATATTACAGATTGAAGATCAGGCCCTTAAGGTCTGGCCCTCTAGCTAGTTCAGTTTACATGTACACATAGATGTGCATGCAGTGATCACATATATGTAAAATATCGTAGACTACCTGTACAATCAAATCTTGCCTCGTAACCTGTATAGAGGCCTTGTATTTACCTGAGCCGAAAGCATGCAGTCGGTTTACTTTGCGTTAATATGCAGTACGTCATTGACCTTGGCCTACTTACCTGTATTTATATCATTGCTACATATGATACTGGTGGCCGCATTACATGCTTCACTTTTTGAAGGGAGGGAAGCTCTTCATTTCGGGTGGGGAAAGTTCCCTAATACGGATTTGCCTGGAGTTGACGGCAATTTTCCCATATTTTATTTTTCAGGAGATAATTTCGGAGGGTGCACATGGCCATCTACCAGTACATGTATGAAGGCCCACTTTTTCTGATTGCAGATTTGAGAAAAATGCGACAACCGTCGATTTGGAAGTAAAATGGAAATTATTTTATTTCTATCTGTTGTGTACAGTAAACCGGCGGCTAATACTCATGTAGCTGTACTGTACTAGTATATATATATATATATATATATATATATATATATATATATATATACATTGTATATATACATATTGTATAGTGAAAATTTGAATCTCACATTAAGAACTATTATCCTTTAGATAAAAAAATAACCTATCAAATATGCACAAGCACGGCAATGTCCACCAGTTTTTTTTCTTTCTCTGCTGGTTTTATTTATACAGAGTTATAGTTTCGCTTTCAATTTTACACGCATGGGTAGGATAGAAGATAGAAGTCCTGTTATGAAAAAATGACCTTGACCTTAGACGGAAGTGAAAGAGATAAAAATGGCTGCGTCCTGAAATTAACAGAATGAGCTCAGCTGCTCAAGTTTTGAAGTAAGTTAACCATTCAGCTGTTTTTGATTAGTGCGCCTATGGAAATAAATGTAACGTTTAACCAAGAATAGATTAGGTAATTTCTAAATCCCTGAGCCTAATGTAGAATAAAGGTAAGGGAGATTTGTAACAAAATGTGGACTCGGGAGTCGGGTCGGAGTACATGTACTTTCTGTCCCGAGTACCCTTCCCATAGCCGAGCTTCAGTTTCTTGATAAGAATATGAAGCTAATGGCTAGAGCTTGTTATGTCTTTAACTGTGAATTTTTAGAAATATGCTCTGCACTGCCAAATAAGACCGGAGATTTATAAATCATGTTAGATCCGAGCACGAAATCCCTGCGTTTACACTCCCTTTGGCTACATACCCTGTATTAATGAATGAAAGCATAGACTGAAAAATGTTAGAAGTGAAGACCAGTTTGCGCATTCACCACGTTGCGGGTGCTCTCAAATTTTTATCATGCCTCTCATCTCCATAACTTGCACACTGCTCTAAAGCAAAACAGTTTTCCCTTCAACTGAGCTGTGAGTAAGGTAATAAACCATGGCTGCTTACTTGTTTGGCCGTTTTACAGTTAAGTGCTTGCGTACATAAATTAAAAGAAACTAAAAGGATATCACCAGTGCAAAATATGTACCAAGTGGTTTTCCTGTCATATATGTATATGTAGTCTGGTGCCAAAACATTTATACTAGGACATGTATTTATTCAATATCATCTTGTTCTCCAGTCCCACTGATATCGCATTGACTCAAACTGTGCACTGCAGCACAGTTCTCTGTCTTCCTTTGTAGTTCATCTCTATGGATTCTTCTTGTAAACTGGAAAGCAATCTGCCAGTATGGTTTGCTGTTTTTTAATCGTGCCAATGGGGGTTGGGAATAAGGAATTTTTTGTAATGTATGGCACAGTACAGTAGTTTTTAGTTTATGTTCTTTTGTTTTATTTGTTTTATAGGCAAGCTGAGGCCCTGAAGGCAAGCATAGGAGGTAAGTATCATTAAAAAAATTGTGTGTGCATCTAGTAAAATAGAAGACCATCAAAGAGAGAGAGAGAGAGAGAGAGATTTTTATCTTGGAAGTGATGCATAATGAAGATAATGATGATGTCGGGGCTTTCAAATGTTTATTCACTGACTTATTTTTCATACAAATTCACAGTTTATACTGTATTTCTTTGATCATGCATTCACTTGTTTTCATTATATTTTGCATGATAAGCAGCAGTTTTCCATTTTCATGTTGCATTCTGCCATTCAGTATTTCCTTATTAGGTAATTTCTAAGTGACTCGTTTCAGTGAAGAAAATCTAAATATTATTTGGGTTACTGATACTTGGATCACATCCAAACTCCATAAGCATGTGTTATGCACAGGGTAAAACCTAACAATTCCATTGTGAAATTCACCAATTAAACCAAAAGAGACATGAATTTGACATGTTCCATCTTTTCTTAGTGCTAAAACAATTTCTACACTTGTTAATTAAACTTGCACCCAATAACCCCCTATTCTTTTAATTATTTTATTCCTCTTTAATTATTTCTTGCAGTTAGTAAAGATGCTCATGTAGGCTCTGAACTTTGCAACAAAAATGTAGAAACATATGATTGCTTGATTAACTTTATAATAATACTTTTATCTCTCTTCAGATTCCTCCAGTAATAGCCATGAGACATGGGTTGCTAGGCAACACCTCCAGGATTTATATCAAAAGTTGCTGGTAATTGACCTTGAGTACTCCCTGGACAAGAAAGTTGAGCAGGACTTGTAAGTTTTTGGTTAAGATAATTACACGGCTCACACTAGAATTTGTATTTTATTTTATGTTAGTCAGTTATATCTTCAAAATAATTTGGTTAAAATTCTTTTGCCTGCTTATAGTCTTTGGCCTATTTTCTTTTGATATTGTGGAAATCAGTTGTTTTTAAGTGGGATAAGAAAATGCTTAATAAAGCTGTTAGATCTTATAAGAAATAAAACATTATCAATGCCATCATCATTATAGGAGGCAAAGAGTGGGTTCCTTTAAAACTTGACAATTATCTTGTTATAAGCTGACTTTCATAAGTCGGTCACTATAGTCACTTACCGGGGCCACTTATTTGTGTTATGTACAGCACTTCAGAAATGTTGTTAACAGAATGTTCTGCAATTTCAGGTGGAATTATGCTTTCAAGAACCAAATCAATGGTCTCCAGGTCCAGACCAAAGATAAACAGGTAATTTTATTCAACTGACCACTTTCCCACTTCTGCTGCATGAAAGCATTAATGAAATGTCCTCAATATTTGGGTCCCAAGTCACAATATAAGTGCTTATTCAGCATGCCACGAAAACTTAAAGGTGTTTGATTATCAATTCCTTTTTTATGTACAGACACAGATGTGTCTGTACATATTGCCATCACCTGCGTCTGTCGTCGCCGCCGCTGTCGCCGTGCACTTTCAGTGTAAACATGATAAGTAGAGGGCAGTTTTACTTTTTGGCTTTATATTTACAGAGCTGATGAATATTCATAATATGCAGGTCAAGTCCGAAAATCAGCATGATCAGGCCATTATTGTAGAAGTTATGCTGTTTTTTCATTTTTCAGCATATTTGCAACACTGTAAACACATTTCAAGGAAAACCGATAAGCCTGTTGTCATGAAACTTACAGGAGTAATCAAACTTACTGAAATGCAGGTCAAGTTCAAAAATCAGCATGATCGGGCCACTATTTTAGTAGTTATGCTGTTTTTTCATTTTTCAGCATATATGCAACACTGTAAACACAATATAAAAAAAACAGGTAAGCCAGTTGGCATTAAACTCACAGGAGTGGTCAATCTTACTAAAATGCAGGTTGAGATCGAAAATCAGCATAATTGGGCCATTATTTTAGAAGTTATGCTGTTTTTTCACATTTCCTCAAATTCAATTCTTAGGCATGTTAACAGTCTTATTATTTAACTAATAAGATACATAAAAGTGTTTGTTTAACATTTCCTGCATCTTTACTACATTGTTAGTTGATTTTTTAAAAATGATGGTAAACTTGTTATCGTGTATTGTGTAATAAAGTGTCAAAAATGGAAATAAACTCATATCATTGCAGTTTGTCAGATTCAATCATTCAGTATGTTCAGAATCTCAGAATGTAAGAAATTGGACATTTAACACTATTCTATTGATATTTTTCCCATCTCATCAATTTTCTTAGTTGATCATATAAAAATGGCAGTAAATCGCTAATTTTGTTTTATGTTAAAAAAATGTTAAGAATGGGAAAAAACCCATTTCAGAACAGTAGTGTCTTGTTTCACATTTCCTCAGATTCAATTCTTAGGCATGTTAACAGTCTCATTATTGAACTAATAAGATACGTTAAAGTGTTTGTTTGACATTTCCTTCATCTTTATCACATTGTTAGTTGATTTTGTAAAAATAATGGTAAACTTGTTATCGTGTATTGTGTAATAAATGGAAATAAACTCATATCATTGTAGTTTGTCAGATTCAATCATTCACTATGTTCAGAATCTCAGAATGTAAGAAATTGGACATTTGACACTGTTCTATTGATATTTTTCACATCTCATCAATTTTCTTAGTTGATCATATAAAAATGGCAGTAAAATGTTAATTTTTGTTTTATGTTAAAAAAGTGTTAAAAATGGAAATAAACCCATTTCAGAACAGTGCTGTCTTGTTTACATTTTGGCATTATCAAGGTGTGACTTTCAAGTTCCACGGGCCTGAAAACCTTTGCTAGTCACGTTTTCTGATTGTCCATGATACTAATATTTTATTATTAAAAATTGATGGTCATTATGTTGTTAAACATTATGTAATGTTGCATCAAAATTAGAAGAAACCCCTATTTTGGGCACTGCTTCCATGATGACCATTTAAGGAAAACCATGTCACTTACTGTTCTCAAACTTGCAGGAAAGAAACACAGGACTAAAATACAGCTTCAGTAAGCAATGCAGTCTTTTTGGTAAATTTTTCTGGCAATTAAACAGTTTTTTTGTGAAAATTTAACTTTTCACATATTGGCATTTTCAAGGTCTGACTTAGAACCTCAACGGGCTTGAAGACCCATGCTAGTCACATTTTCTGAAAATCCATTATACATATATTTTATTATTAAAAGTTGATGGTCATTTTGCTGTTAAGCATTATGTAATATTGCATCAAAATAGAAGAAAACACAATTTTGGGAGCTGCTGCCATGATGACCATTATGGGAAAACCGTATTACTTATGATTGTCAAACTTTCAAAAAAGAAACACAGTACTAAAATGCAGCCGAGTTGAAAAAGCAGTCTAATTGGCTTCTTTTTCTTGAAGTTATACATTTTAGTGAAATATTCATTTTTATCTTGTTTTTTTTTTTACTGATTGTCTGTTTCTTTGATATGAACTCCTTTGAAACATAATTACAAAATATAATTTTAAAGATATCTAGGAGTTTGTCTTTTCCTCGTAGAACGTCTGAGAGTTTCAGTTGGTTGTTCACATTGATCTGACAAAGTTTGAACTTCTTTTCTGTTGTTTTCGTCCATTTGTGAATGAAGATCATGGAGAGAGTCAAATTCATTGTGAGATTCTTTGTCACATAGATCAGACGAAGTTTGAACTTCGTTTTTTTTTTTTTTTTTTTTTTTCGGCTGTTTGAGGATAAAATTCATAGAGAGAGTCAAAGTCAATGTGAGATTCTTTGTCGTTGTCTGCAGTATCTACATTTTCATAGTCTGGACATACAGTATGAGATGCTTTAATTGTTTTGAACAGGTGTATTATTTTTCTTAGAAATGACATTGATTATGCCAAATGAATATTGGTTTTATTAAAAATTGGTTTCTTGTTTTGTTTATAAACATGTTGAGTTACCATCCAAGAAAAAATTATCTAATTCAATGAAGTGAAACACACTAAAAGGTGCCAGACCAGCAGAAAATTCCACCCTGTACTTAAGAACCATACACTGCCTGCCTGATAATATCTGTCTTAGCTTGTTTCACTAAACCAGTGAACACTTTTCTGGACCTACCTTCAAAATACTTGAAGAATCAACAGCAAGAACAGCAACCAGTAGGAGTAGGCTTATCAGCTTAATGGATACCATTATTTTTAAGTCTGACTTGCCAAGATTTCTAAAACAAGGGAATCAACAGAACTAAAGAATTAACAATTTGTATGAAATATAAACTATAATTAAGTCCATTTTTAAAAGAAATAATCAGGGTTCTCTTTTACACCTTATTACATCTACCACAAATATTAAACACACTTATAAGTAATAATAATAATAATGATAAGAAGTAGAATACATTTATTATAACTCAAATCACTTGAGTTGCACATTTAAAAGTGGAGAATTCCTAGCTGATATTAAACATTTATGCCCGGTCTTAATGGATCTCTTCAGTCCTGAATCATCCTTATCTTAGTAGGGAAAATACAAAGCAATGTGGCTCTACAAAGCACTACTACATATAGCGAGAAGAGACAAAGCTAGGGTGCCATTTTCTTAATAGATATAATGATAAAATATCATCCCCCAAATGTTATTGAACAGTCCATGCCTTACCAGTTTTCTGTCCTACAGTTCTTAGGAGATTTGCGCCTTGACTGATGTGTGGAGTTTCAAGGAGGGTGGTATATTTAAATACACTATCATATTAAAATGTCCCCTATTCCTCATGTTATCAATCCTATTTTACCAGCAGGTTTCAAAGCCCACCTTTATGTAATAAAATGTAAGCGCCAAACTACATGTTCATATGGGCTGAGACCGAGTGTGCTGAGACCAAGTCAAGACGTCAGCCAGTTGATGTGTAGCTTCAGTGCACAGTTAGCCTTCACTGCAGAATTGGTGCTCCATATTAATATCGCGGTTCCTTCCCTTTGAGTGGGTAGGCAAAAAATAAAAAATAAAAATAAAAAAAATAAAAAGGCAGATCAGTGTCTATGGTGCACAGGTAGCACTTACTGTGGAAACCGTCCCGACTATTACAGTCTCTCTCCAGCCTGCGGGGAGGCCATTGTGGTTGCCAATCATTGTTTGCAATTTAATTATATAATATCCTAGGTTTGGAGAGAGATTTAAGACCCCAGGGTGTCTCACTAGGCTGGGGGAGAGATTTAAGACCCCAGGGTGTCTAGGCTGGGGGAGAGATTTCAGACCCCAGGACCGAGTGTGCTGAGACCAAGACATCAGCCAGTTGATGTGTAGCTTCGGTGCACAGTAAACCTTCAGGGCGGAATTGGTGCTCCATATTGCGGTTTCTTCCCTTTGAGCCAGTAGGCCAAAAAAAAAAAAGAGTACCGGAATGCAGCCCTACTATAGAACCTTTGGACCAATGAAACCCTTGATTAAAAAACAAAGAGACAAAAGCTAGGGTGCCATATTGAAATGTATTCCAGATAAAGTTGCTTTGTCACGTACTCTTGTCCCCTATTCCTTATGTTATCAATCCTATTTTACCAGCAGGTTTCAAAGCCCACCTTTATGTAATAAAATGTAAGCGCCAAACTACATGTTCATATGGGCTGAGACCGAGTTGTAATGAACCTTTTACATATGCCTATGATGAATGTCCTAAACTTATATAATTTTGTACGCTTAATTCAAGTGTGGTCTCGAAATAGGACATTACGTTTTAGACTTATTTAGTGGATAACACAATCCAAAGATTCCACAGTTCGTGTCAGATTTACGTAAGGTCGCGCAAAGAAAACCCAAGTCCACATAATGACCAGTTTAATGGTTTATTAGTTGACGATCTCTAACTACATGTTCTACGTGAAGCCTCCAACTTCTAAGCCGTCTCCCATGGCTCTGTCGAGTGGTAACCTTCAAGTCTTCTTCCTTCTGAACTCCAGATATTAATTCTGCACGTCTTTTATACAATATTTCTTATCACAAGGTGGATTCTGTGCTGCATTATTATTAACGATGATTATTATATAATTTATTATGTAATGTTACATCAAAATTGACAAAAATGCACTGCTACTACAAACATTTTGAAAAGAAAACCGTGTTACTTATTATTATTATTTTTAACTTACAAGTATGATTTTTAGGATTGGCATGCAGTTCAAATTAGAAAGCCAGCTCAATTGGGTTATCATTTATTATTGAACTTATGCAATTTTGTGTAAAATTTTCATTTTTCTCAATCTGGCTCTTTCAAAATGTGTACTCTCATGGGCCTGAAGCCTTATGCTTGTTACACATTTTACTTACATTGGTATTACCTGTTGAGCATAATTAAAATTTGATGTTGAATTTGCAATTTAACATAATGTACTTTTGCATCAGAATTGACAGTAGCCTATTTTGTGCATTGTTATTTTCAGCTTTTTGTCTGTACATTTGACAGCTTTGCTGCCTTGTCTTAAAATTCAGTTGTGTTGTGACTTTGATTAGATGAAGAGAATTGAGGTCAATTCAAGGTGAAGACCAAAAAAAAATCAGCTAATACATAGCAATTTATTTATTTGAATAGCACAGGCATTGATGATATGATTACAATGATAATAACTCTTCGTTCTGAATTTTCCTGGAGCAAACAACAATTTTCCCCATACTTACCAATGGTTAATGAATCCATATTTACATTCAAAGTTAGTCCCTGTTTTTTTTCTAAAAAGTTTGTTTTTTTGTTAAAATCTGTTAGGAGATTATAACAGAGTATAGCCATCAATGGAGGTAACGTGATCTGAAGACAATCACAGATATCAGAATAATAGCTATAACTGCTGTTTTTTGTCGTAAAACAGAATATATAATATTTCTATGAGTTATTCACAATTTTTTATTGTGAAATATAGATCTCATACGAAGAGTTATTATCCCTTTGAATTTAGAGAAAAATGCACCAAAAATCAAAAACTTACATGAATAAAGTGTGTGTGTGTGTGGTGGGGGGGGGGGGGGGGGCATTCTGCAAGTTATGTACCACATTGACTTCACTTTTAGCATAAATCCTGAAATTTTATTTTGTTTTTGATATTCCAGAACCCCAACAGGGCAGAGATCCAGGCCAGTCTGAACCTATTCCTGGAGACTGCCAGTGGATTCTATTTACAGGTGAGAGCCAATGTCATATTTATATTTATATTCAGGTCTCTAATACAGTATACAGGTCATACATTATCTGTGAAAAGAACATTGATTTCTTTTTAGTATGGTGTTGACAGATAGATTGAAAGCCTTATCACAGATAGATTGAAAGCCTTATCACAACTCTAAATCATCAAACTTCCAAACACACTTCAGAAATGTGTAAGTGAAATTGTGTTTCTTTAATTTTTTTTTTTTTAATGTCAGCTAATTGAACATTTGTAGATGTCTCTTTGTATGTCTCTTTGCTATTGCTTCATTATGAGATTGTATGTTTTATGTTTGAGTGTTGGAGGTGAAAATTCAGAATTTTGGTTTCAGCTCATGCAGGAACTAAGCAGTGCTTTTAAATTAGATTTGCCATTTCGAAGAAAAACTAGTCACTTTGGTGCATTAAAAGGTAAGTGTGATATATATCCATGTAAATATTACCACAAATTTGAATGCATACAGGTGTTATATCATATTTTCTTGTCTTAGACTTACACATGTAGTGCATTATAATTTTAGTTTTGATAATGTTTGTCTTAAGTATTTAAAAATCAGTAGTTCAGTTAAAAACCAATCTGTTTGTTAAAGTTTTTTTTATGGTATAGCTTTTAATGTTATTTTGGGAGCTATTAAAGATCTTTGTACAGTAAGGAATTGGTTGAAGTGTTCAAAGAAAATTATTATGAGGGGTGTGTTAATTTGTTTCAGAATGTTATCCCTATTATGGCAAAATCAAGTCTCCTAAGAAAGCTTCCTGTCTGTACATCTGTCAGCACATACTGGTGCATCTTGGAGATATAGGCAAGTTTTCAAATTAAAAATGCAGTGTCACAAATGTTTTCGTTTGGGTTTTTATTAGTTAGTTAGTTAGTTAGTTAGTTAGTTAGTTATCAAATTAAAATCTCATCTTGCACTTTTTGAAAGGGAAGGAAGTTATGTATTTGACCCAAATCATTGAAACTTTCATTACAAAACAGATATTAGTACATGATAGTGATAATCTCATCTGTCCAGTGCAAGAAAGATGACATACATGACTATAATTACTAAGTAAACAAAACATTGAAAGAGGGTATGATGTTCACTTTTCTTTGTAGCTCGTTACCTACAGCAGATAGAGCAGGCACAGACGTACTACAGACATGCTGCATTCCTGGTTCCTTCCAATGGTCAGTTACTCTCACTCTTTTCTTTTTGATTCATAAAACAGTCAGCTTGCAGTCTCTTCTTTAGAAATCATTGAATTATGAGCTTGCAGCTCAAAAGTATGAATCCCCACTTATTTATATAATAGTAAAGTGGTGTTCTAAAATTGTCAACCAACGGTTCAGGATGCATCATATTAAAGATGTGCTCACCATATTTGAAAATGGCCCAAAGTCCAATGTTTTTTTGTCTGCATATGTTGCAAAGCTGATAAAACTTTCCCATATCAGGCTTAACATTTATAACACCCCTTAAATAAAAGTACCTGATTTCGATTTTTCTTTCAGAAATGTTTAGAAAGACATGGTGGTCTAAATGACTGGCCAGTCATATTTTTCCAAGGAAAATTAGATTTGGAGGGATTACTGAAAAGGATACCTTAAAACCCCATTGTAAGCTTGGTATAAATAATACATCTTTCTGATTCTACCAAATATTTAGTTCTCTCATCTGTTCTTCAATATTTGCAATCCAGGTCAACCTTACAACCAGTTGGCCATACTTGAAGCAGCCAAAGGAAACAAACTGTGCACTGTCTTCTACTACATCCGCAGTATAGCAGTCAAGCACCCATTCCCTGTGGCCACCACTAACCTGGAGAAGTTCTACAGTAAACTCATCAAGGACTCGTAAGTAAAGAATGGGGACTACCTTGAGCTTGTTACTCAGTAGCAGATCCTTTGTTTTCATTTTGATTTTGCTGTATACCATCAGTGTAATGGAGATTATATAATTTAATATTTCAATTTATTATTTGAAATTTATTAATATATGTTCTCAAGAGAAGAGAAGAGTCTTACAGACAGTGCCATTTGGAATGATGTATACAATAACTTAAAGTTTGTTATGTCTTATCTTTACAGTGTTGAATACAGGGGCAAACTTTCCATGTGTGAATTTGTGAGCACATTTCTCCAGTTTCATGCTTTTGTCCATTTGTGTACAGGTAAGCAGCATGACAGTGGCATGCCATAGATAATTGATATATGAAGAAAAGCACATTTTAAAGAAACATACTGTTTCTACCCCAGTCTAATGCTCTTTACCTGTTAATATTTTACCAATCTAATATTAGACTAATGCAATTTTGTATTGTTGAAATTTTTCCAAAATGATATCCCTGATTTTAAGTAAAGATTATAATAATAGTTTATATGCATCTTGTTTTCACAAGTTTAAAGATTTGATTATTTAAACATAAAAACATGAAAAGTTATTTACATATTTCTGTATATTTTACTATCAGACCTGACCAAAGCTAAACGGCATGGCGACAAATTGGCTACCAGTCTCTCCTCGCATATCAGCTCGGTCAGCTTTTCCTCGTACCAGCTGGTCCAGATGGTAGCGGTCAACCTGTTTGCTATGGACCATGCGTCCAGGAGGCTGGACAGTGGTGGTGACCAGAGCAAAGAGGTGCTCAGTGAGGATGAAAGGACCTGCTGGGACTTGGTGTTTAATTTGACAGGTGGGTACTTATAATGATGGGAATAGTATCTGTACAATAATTATTATTTATGATTATTTGCTGTTGTCTGATGTTGAAATTGCACATTAAACTTACAGATCAAAGTCTATGTACTTATAGTCTGTGCATGAGCATAGGTAAGAGAAGCAGAAACTTAATCTTTCTGTAGCTCTCTTATCTGGGTCTGTTATGTGAATGATACAGTTGTCAGCACAAAATATTTTTGTAATAAAAGATTTAAAAAACTTGTTTACTATAGAGCTGCAGTGAATGATCACAATTAACACATTACTGAGTATCTCTTGGGCTTGAACTAAATTTCAAGTCACACATTTATTATATAATTGCTGCAATAAGAATGATCATCTCATGCATTCTGTGGTCTGTTCCAGCCACCATGCTGAGTCACCTTCTCCACTTCACACCTAAACAAGAACAGAAGGCCAAGGACCACCACACTTTGCCAGCCATCAAGATACTGCTTGACTGGGTCAGACTGGACAGGGACATGCTGGCCAAACCAGTGTTCAAGGGGTCAAAGTAAGTACTGGTCAGTCAGACTGGACTGTGTCAAAGTAAAGCCTAGGTCCCAACTACATTTTGGACGCACAGTTTTTTAGGTTCCTTGGGTCCGGCCAGGACGTAGCTAGATCGCAGGGAAGGAATCAAGCGGCTGTTGATCATGTCGAAAAGTTTCTACGTGGTGCTTGCGTCCTCCAAAAGCCGCACGATGGACATGCTCCTCACGCACAAACTCCCACGTTTTCCTCATTTTTTTTGGCTGTATACCACACGTAGCAGCCCATTTGGTTTGGGCCTAGGCTTAAGTAAGGGTACTAGATGGAGGTGAAATAGGAAGTGAAAAAAAGTACTAAATGATAATTATCAAACACAAGCCGAAATACTTTTATATGGTTAGCTTATGGCAAACTTGGACATAGGCCTTCATCAGACTGATGTGAGCAGATGTTGACACTCACTGACCACTAGGTGGTATAGCTGCCAGGGCCCTCTTAAAAATGTCAAGTAGATTGACTCCCCCCCCCCCCCCCATCCCTATTTATTCAGTATATTACTTGATTTTCATTTAGTAACCAACTACCAAGCTAATGAACATTTTTGTTCGTGAAAAAAAAATTCAAAAGTTTATATCAGCTTTTTAAATACATTCATTTACATGAAGAAATGAGATTGAATGATTGTTGTTTTACATATTTATGTATCTGTTTATATTTATTTCTTGGGTTTTGTTCTATAATTTTGTATAACAGTGTTACAGAATTTAAGATATGAATTTCAAATGTAAGAAACATGTCTTCTTTGGTTAAAGCATCCAGTAAAACAGTAACAAAGGAATGTGAAAGTTTTTTTTTTGTCCTTCAGTGTATGGAGTAACCTGAGCAAGCTTCTGAACAACCTACAGTTTCATGTTGGACTTAAGGACACCGCAGGGCTGGAGAAATGTAAGTGTTGGTTAGGCCTCTATGTAGAATTACACAATATCAATAACCAAGTATCTCTTTTTTCAAGATATAGAGTGTTAAAAATAAGTATTACCGATGTGATTTTACAATTTCAGAAAAAAAAGAATATTATAACAATCTTTTTAAGCAAGTGGATGTTAAATTTTCAGATGTACAACTCCCTTTGCCTGAAGACTATGATCTGCAGTGTTTTCTGCCAACCTCCAAGGGTCAGGAGTAAGTAAACCATTTCAGTGGTGATAAATGTTTATAAGGACAAGTAAAACAATGAAATTATTGTTATTAATAAAAAGAAAACGTATGTAAATAGTTGAAATACAAAAATGAATTATAATTTGATTTATTTAATCATGCTTACCTAGTACAAGCTTAAGATAAAAATAATTTTTTAAATTAAAGAATGTTTAAATAATTGAATTAACTGATTCATCATTTTGAAGGCCTGTGACATAAACTGGACTTAGTAAAACTGACTGCAGTCAGTCATCTGGATTGTAAAATTATGCATATCAATTTGAATACGGATTGCCTCAATTTGTTCCCTTCGTCTTAATTACGTATGACATTATAAACTATACTTTCCACCAGGAGACTGGATTTCAGCAAGTACCCAAGCGATTTATTTCCTGGTGAGGTAGAGGCGCGGCTGAGGTGCCAGCGTTTGATGGAGCACGGCAAGGCACTTTGTGAGGAGTTTCCTAGTCTGAACCTCATCAACTTCCAGGTCCTGAAGTCTGGCAAGCTGCAGTTCAGTGCACCTAGCTATCATGTGAAACTACTGCCTGCTGGTGGGTTTCTGAAGTCTCAGATAAAAAATTGGGGCTAATGTTACAAAAGATCTGTTGAACAACAGGTGTCTTTGTATCTAGACTAAAAGATTTTAGTCTTTTTTTGATCTTGGATAAATCAGTTGAAATACACTTCAGTTGAACACTGCACCTATTTTATAGAAAGAAAAAATTACTAATGTTTTAGACCCTTTTTAATTTTTTTTTTAATTTCTGAAGACTTCCATGGATTAATCCAGAATTGAATGTAGACCAATATCTTTTGTCTAAATGTTAAGATTAAATTTGGGTTCTTTTGTGAAATCTGCCCCTTTTGTCAGATTCAAAATAATATTTTTCACCCCTTGATAGTGGTGTCTATCAAGGATCATCTAATTTTGTTATGGAGAACCTAGGATTTAGTTTGTCAACTTATTAGTTCTGGTTAGAAAATGATTTGAAGGAAAATTGGTCTTGGTTAGTTATTTCTCACAGACATCAGCCACAGTGCATTTGTCTATTTTGTTTTAGTTCCATGCTATTTCACACCATTTTAGCTGTAATTTCGGTGATAAACTGTCTGTTTTTGTATAAGTAATAAAAAAATTTGTGAAATTACTTCATCAAAAGATTGTGGAAGGATATATTAACAAGAGTGAAAGAACTTAAGATCTTGAGTTTCATGATTCTTGTTTTCATATTTCAGATTCTGAGAGTCAGCAGCATGAAAGAAAAGCTTCCAGACAGAATGTGGCTATACAGGTAGGTGGAATCTCGTCTCAGTCAAAACTACAAATTAAAAAAAAATTGGTCTCTCTATATGAATTAGTGCTGTTTGTTACCTAAGCATTCTAAGGCAGCTGCTGCTTTGAACATCAGCCAGCTTTTACTATTAATGTGTTTTCTAGAATGTTTCAGTAATTGCTGGAATATTCCACCATGAAAAGAGACTAATTAGACTCGAGACTTGCCATTGTTTGGCTACATTAATGTGTTGCTCAATTCAGTATCCTAGATTCCCATGTTTTCATCTTTTCCAGGCTATTATGCAGAATAAAGCCGCTAAAACTCTTCCTGGCCAAGGCTCACAAAACCAGGTCTGTGTTGGTGAATATATCAAAGAAATATGAAAACAAAGGATCATTTTTATGTCAGTTAAAAAAAGAAATGTTATATCTGTGAACACAGTTGACATAATTAGTGCCAGCTTTATTCTTAATGCAGTGAACCTTTATTGCCGTGCATGGTTGGTTATATTGTAGTTGTCATTTTATCTCAGTCAATATTAAACATGTCTACTCTATGCATCACATGTCCTGTCAGTAATTTTGTCTGTCAGCTGTTTGTGCCTGTTAATCACGTCATGTCTGTTAGTCATTTTTTGTGTCATTTGTGTTATGTCTGTCAGTTATTTGGTCTATCAGTTGCGTCATGTCTATCAACAGTCAGTTTGCCTATCAATTGCGTCATGTCAGTCACTTTGTCTCTCAGTTGTGTCATGTCTGCCAGTCAAACTACATGCCTGCCAATCAATACATGTGTGATAACCCTGTTTGTTTGTCTGACTGTCATGTCTGTTGTTTTCAACTCCAGGGACCCCCACAAATAGAACAGAGAAAACCCCTACAGCTGTCTCCCTCCCAGTCCAGGTCTCAGGCCGACCTCTCCCCTAATCACAGCCAGGGACACTTGTTTGATGAATTGCCAGTAGATGGCAGCAGTGGTAGCAACCAGTCCACCTCTCCCTTGCCATCTGGCCTCCATGGTAACCTGCCACCTCGGTTGTTACAGCAACAACAACAGCAACAACAACAACAGCAGCAGCAACCATCTCAAGGAGGCATGTACCCCTCTCCTCACCCTGGGGGGTATCACCAGGGTATGCCCCCACAACACCACCCTGGTATGATGCCCGGAATGGTGCCGAACATGCCCAGAGCACCTCTCATTAGACAACCCAAACAACAAGTGGACCCAGGTATACGGCCTGGCCTGAGGCTGGAGTCCCGAGGTGGACCCCAACCCCAGCAGATGCTGCCCTCTGGTGTCCAGTTCTCACAACCTTCTGGTGCCCCTGTGGCAGAGATGGTCCCCAAACCTACAGCTTTCCTGCAGCAACAGCAGCAGCAAGATGGGGCACCAAGGGGGAACTTTTCTTCTGGGGTGAGGATGCCTCAACACCAGCCATCCCCTCGGATTCCCCTACAGAACCCCATTGGTGTTAGTGCCAGGATGCCCAGGGCCCAGCAGGGGGCTGGGATACCGTCAAGGATGCCAAGTCCACAACAAGGGCCTCCTGCTCCCCAGAGAATGCCAAATGCACAAGGTGAGAGAGAGAGAGAGAGAGAGAGAAAGGGAGGAAAGAAACATGAAAATATGAGGTTGGGACAAAAGTTAAGAGAGTGTTTAAAGAATGCTTTTGGGAAACATTTTGAGTTTGTTACTCACACCTTAAAGTATTTACTACCATAATTGTGAATCAATAAAGAATGGTATGGTTGTAAATTTTTTAAATTCAAATATAAATATATAATTATATAAAAATGATCGGAAGTTCTTCCATTTTAAGCTCAAATCAGTCCCAAAATACAGTGCACCTTTGGAATATGTGATGTTGATTTGCCCTTACAGTGTACTGTTGTATAAATAAGTGCTGGAAAGCACTAAGAGGAAAATTTTTTTTCAAAATCCCAGATAATTTTCAAAAAAAGAAAGAGAGTAATCATTGATAAACTGCCTTGTTCTTTCATGCTCTTTTATATTTTTATCTTTTTGTTTAGCCCAAATTTACTTTTGCTCTTCTGTATGATTAATAATGTTAAATTCCAGTCTATACTATTATATAATATGCTTTTAATCTCTATAAACAGATTATGCAAAATTTTTGTTAAACAATTTTTTTTCATATCATCATTTTTTTAAGAACAGGCATTATTTTTTAGTTATGGGAAAGAATAAAGCTTCTGGGGTTCTGTGATAATCCCTATTGTGCATTTATAGCTGCTCTTATGCACTAATTCTATTGTTTAGCCTGTTACTCCAAGCTCCTTATGTATTGTTAGGGATAAAAATTTGGCATTGGTCAAGAAATTAACTGAATTTGAATTTTTATATTGGTATTTAGCTGGTAGCCCCATTTTTACTAGTATTTCACATTCTGTCTTAGACATCTTATTATTTAACGATCAGAGAAAAAGCAGAAAAAGGGAATGCAGCTGACTGTTATTTGTGTGTATTTCAATGAAATTTACACAGGAGGTGTTTTTATGCTGTTAAGAAAATATTTTTAATATGGGAAAATAATACCTATGTGAAAAGTTTAAAACACAAGTATTATTGAATTTTATTTTTTTTTAAAAATGTGCATATTTACTTTAACAGTGCTACATAAAGTCTTTAAATAATATTGATAACTGCAGGCACAATCATTCATATATACTGAAGGTCACGAGATGATGTCCAAGTTGTTGATGACTAAATTGTTGTTGTTTTCTAAACGGACACCAAGGCAAGTGCATGTCATTCATGTCTCATAATAATCCATCGCTGTTCTTCTCAAAGGTTTCGTTTGTCACCTACAGACTTGATAAAGATAGCAATGGCAAATAAGTGTTAGGGATTGTCCGTGCAGGTAGAGAACACACTTTGGAAGCGATAATAAGTCAGGAAGTGCTGTAAACAATGTCATTTTTCACACCCGAATGATGATTGGAACTTGGCTTGGTTAGCATAGCATCTCTTTGTTGAATATAATTTTGTGTACTGATAATATAAGAAAAGTGCAAGTGTCATATGGTCAGTTTACCAGACTTAACTTTAAGTAGTCCACTCAACCACTGCAAAATCTAATTCTTAGACAATTGTATTTTAAAATTTGACAAGTGTTTCTATTGATTTGACCATGCTCAGCTACACAATGTACAGTGACTGAAGTCTTTCACTGTTTTAATTTCCAATCTACACTAAAATTTAATGTGGTACACAGCAGAGTCTAATTTTTCTGATAACCCATCAATATAATGACAAACTGCATTCTGGGATTTTTCAATTCTCCAAGGGATAAGCTCCATGGGTAACTGTTGGTCCTCATTAGAATGTAAATTTCTAGTTGGTGATACGTTATTATGCATTTTTAACCAAAGGGATTGACAATCTAAAGTTTAAACTTTCATTTAGGGGTAGGTCTTTGTTTGATTAAACCATTATTTTTATTAGAGGGTGAGAGGAGGGGGTTGACAGAAAAGGGGGAGCGTGGGGAGGCAGTGTTCTGAGTTGAATGAAGATGTTAATAGCAAGGTAAAATGATGCAGAAAGGAAATCTGATATACATTTGAATATCTTTATTTCAGATGTTTTGAGAGTAACAGTCGGAAGCAAATGTTTATATCATTTCTCAATAATTTATTGGAACATTTACTTGTACCTTTTGTTGTTAATTAATGAATGTAATTGATTTATAAATTAGGTGGTGAGGCAAGACTCCCATTCTCTCAGCAAGCCTGGAGCAGCCCCTTCCTGCAGCAACAGCACACACCAGAGCAACAACAGTACTTACAGCAGTTACAACAACAAAGACAGCAACAGCAACAACAGCAGCAGCAACAACAACAACAACAGCAGCAGAAGCAACAACAGCAGCAGATACAAGGAGGGCTGTACCAAGGTGGAGGAGGGGGAGGCGGAAGTGGACATTTCCCCCCACAGCAGCAGGTGCCCCAGCAGCAAGTTCCCCAATCACTGCAACAGCTGATACAGGACCTACAGAGGTAGGACTTTATCACTTACATTTCTTGATAAAAAAAGATTGAGGTAGTATAGTGTAGTGTAGTGAAGTATAGTTATAGGGGCAGTTGGATGATTCCTCTTGTCTTGACATACTACTGTATTAATTAAGAGATAAGAATTTCCTGTGGGTCTTCAGTTTATTTTTTTCTCAGCCATAAAATTCATTAGTTTCCTGTTCACGTGTTTGCCTACAGTGATAGATATGTCTGACCTGTTTGTGGTGTGTTTTGTTTGGTACATGTGCACTTAACTGAACACTTCCTTCCTGCATGATCCAAGCGCTGATGATTTTGTTTATCTTTCAAGCATGGCTGTCAAAGGAAGAGGCTTGGCTCCACTTAACATACCACCCCCAATGGGCCAGATGCCTGCCCACAGAGGACATGCTCCGCCTATGAGGAGAGAAAGCTCCTCCCCTTCATTGCTCCAGACACCTGCCAATTTTGAAGAGGATGAGATCAATTTCCCTGATTTGAATAATATCAACATACAGGTGAGAGAATCATATGGCATTACACTTGTAGAATTGGTAAATATGTGCTGTCTCTTTTTCTTTCTCTTTCTCGTATTTTCATGACTAAAGTGAAAACTGGCAATAGAGAGCAGGGTTCCTTTTATTAAGTACCACAATGTAGCCATCAAAGCTGTATAGTTGGATGAAATTTAAAAAATGCCAGATAAATTGGGGAGATGTATATTAATAATAAATATATATTGTGTGTTGTCCTTTTCCAGCCAGGGGCTGCTTTCTCTACATCAGATATAGAAGTGATCTTGGCAAATAATCCACAGCAGGCACGGCAGCAAAAGTAAGTAAGGCATGATGGAATGTTTGCATTACTGTCTTTAATCAGCTTGTTTCATTGTAAATGAGAAGCGTGCTGTTTATGCCAGGATGAGTGCAGTCCTAATGAGATTGCAGGAAATACAGCCTAACATGAATAATTACATAACAAGAGTTTAGGTGAAGCACGCATTGCCATTTTGTTTGTCTGATGCCATACTTTCCAACAATATTGTAATCCACAATTTTGGAACCAAGATTTAAATTTTGAATCAAGAAAATTATTTTAAGATTGTATGAAAATCTGTTATATAACTGTAAATTCAAAACGTACTGTTGATTTTACTTTTCTTGGTTTACCATTACTTTTGTCCTAAATTTAGAAAATTGCTATATACAGTTCCTTTGTTATGATTGAAGCTGCCAAGTTCGGATGACATAACAGGGTGGTCCATAAAAAAAAATAGGCTGTATTTTTATGGACACATCCTGTATATCTGTTCAATGCTCACACTACATTTCCTGTAGCCCAATGTTTGGAGTTGCTCAAAGAAACCCATCTGCCGGCTCTTACTCTCTGTTCAGCAACTCCCCCTGGGGTGGCACTGAGGGTGACAGGGAGGGAATTATACAAGGAAAAGGTTTGTATCACCATAAGAAATGTTATAATAGGAAACTAAGTCTTATTATTGCATATGAGATTAGTTTTTAGCTGACCTTCAGCTCATTGCTGTAAAGAAAAAGAAAAAATGAAATAAATTTAAGGTTTCTTTGCTTTAAAAATTTGTGTCATGGAAACGGTGAGTTGTTCAACTGTATGAGTTATTTTACTGTACATTTCTAGAACAGAGTAATAAATTGTTTTTCAACCATTTTTGATTAATTTTATGAGATATTTATTGAATTGTTCTTTCATGTACTCATGCATGCCTTTTTTTCATCTCAAGGTGTGGGTAATGACAACCCACAGGGAAGGTCCAAGGTTCCAAGCCACGGCATGCTGGGCATGGGGGACACTGGGCTACGGGGACTGGGGAGTGACCCCCCTGGTCTGGCAGGAGACAGAGGCAGTGATGTGGGCATGGCCCAGGGGCTTGGGCTCGGGTATGGGTTCAACCCTGGGGACCAGGTGTGGGGCCAGCAACACCAACCACCCCAGCAGCAGAACCCCCCTGGTGCCCCCTCTGGGAACCCGTTGATGTCCAACAGCATTCAGGTAAGAAGTATGTCTTTGAAGAAGAAAAGGGAGAAGATTCAGTGAGACAAAAAGCAACGTTGAAAGTATTCTGAGATCCATTCTTTAAAAAATTGCAGGCAATGTATTAGTCTAAATTTCTAAGCTTTATGAATGGTTTATTTATTGCTTTTTGTGTGTAACTGCTAGTTTTCAAAAAGTTAACTTGTCACTGAGTTTCAACGGAACTTGTATGAAATTAAAGTCATAATAACTCTTCGTTTTGGCCAAAAATTGGATTTTCCTGGAAAAAACGGCAATTTTCCTGTACTTAGCAATGGTCAACAACCCCATTCCTGCATTCAAAGTTAATCCAGGGTTTTTTTCCTAAACGTACGGTTTTTTGTTAAAATTTCTTAAGAGATTTTAACTGACGGAGCCCTCTCTGACATTGCATAGTCACTGGTGACCTACTTAAAACTGCAGGAAAGGCAGACAACAAACAACAACAACACTATATAACAATAATATAAGATTCATGAGATATATTCGTCTTTTTGTTAAAAATGCATTTATATCCACAATGTGTGCCATTCTGGGCTGTTCGTTATCTGACGCACTGTACAAAAACTCCCAACTTACGTCTGCGGACTGCACTAGCGTTTGGCGCCATATTTTATTTTGGTCTCGAATGAACGCGAGAATCTGCGTGACACCCAAACGTCATTGGCAACGAATGCCTTGACGACCGGGAAGAAAGGCATCGAAAGCCCTACTGACAAGCACAGATTTTAGTTTTACTACAATAACGGCCGTTTTAGTGGTAAAATGCAATATAATATATTTCCATGCGTTGTTTACAATGTATTTCTTGCAGATTTTTGAATCTCAAAGGAAGAGTTATTATTGCTTTAAAGCCATCGTATGATAATGGCTTGTAATATAGTATTAATGTAACATAACATACTTTATTTAGAACCAAATAAATAAGAGCATTGGCTTCGGTGATGATATTTATTTATTTATTTATTTGTTTTCATATTGGGGTTGCAGTCAATTTGGACATCAGGGCCCTCTCCTTTGGAACGCTTGCTAGAACAACAGAAACAGCAACGCCAGTTTGAGCCGCACTGAAGTCCCCCACCCATGTCTTTGTGGAAATCAGCTTAAAGATACCTTCCAAAAGCCCCTGTCTTGTGCAGAGCAACAACTACTGCTGTGGACAGGGAGACTGGAAGACTTCTACAACTGGGTCGACAATAACTAGGTCAATTAAATATAGGTCAACTGAAATTGAGTCAACAAGAAGAACATCAACATGAAGTGTAGGATGTGTGGATTCAGTGTCTTTTTATTTCCTTTGAGATCAGATGTAAATTCCATCATAGGATGAGATACGTATTGTGAACAAGTATGCTTTAATTGGGTTGAAACTGGAGAAAAGAATATATTATTATTTAACTTTATTTATTTATTTATTTATTTATTGTAGGGGGATTTCTGCTTTAAAAGTGGTCTTAGTCTAAATATTGGGAGTAATTCTGAGGTATTATTATTATTTGATTTTGATTTACTATGATTTGAACAAAAAAGAGGAATTAGTTTCATTTTTTTCTCTCTTTTGCTCAAGCCATATCACTTTATCCAAAATTCTCATGGAGAGCTTGTAGTTACATAAAAAATCAAATAACTAAAGTAATATTTTCTTAATATTGTCATTATTTTGAGAGATATGATTGTCTTCTCTATACTTACCTAAAACAAAAGAAGTTTAATTCCCATCAGTGAACAGATGAGGCAGTGTTAACTACAGGTCTTGTTGCTTATAAAAATGCAGTTTCAGCTGGATAGCAGCCACGTGAATTGTGAAGTCAGCAGAAGGACGCGAGAAACCCATCAAGCGAGCAAATAGCTAAAATTAATTAAAAGTAAAATAGTAGACTCCATATATTAATTAAGTATAAAGTAGGATATATATATGTATGCATATAAGTATATATTCCTCACTATATATATATATATATATATATATATATATATATATATATATATATATTACATGGTTTTGTCTGTACTAATACGGTGTATCTAATACCCTTCCCTAGTATTGATAAACTCTTCCCCATAAAAACCAAGAGACCTTTAATCTCAGACTGTGAGGCTATTACTTTATCCTTATTAGATTATTGCTAGAAAATGGTCATAACCAATCTCAATCTTTAGCAAAGAATGTAGTTAGATCTTTAGAGGACTGTGGGACCGCATGACAATAAAGATACCCCCTCCCCCCCTTCCCAAAGCAAAAAGCTCACGTGGTTTATTAGCACGTGTTGCTGTTCTCACGTACATTGAAATGTTTAGTAATTTAAGCATATTCCTGTACTTGTTATGAAGTGATTTGGCATCTTAATTAGCTTGTAGCCAAACATCCGCTACATTGATTGATTATAACATTTACGTTGAGAACAATGTAAGAGAACACCTGATACCCCCATGTGAATTAAAGAATTACCAGTAAACAATATAGACAGCTACTGCTATTGCACGACATCCTTTAGGTGACATTCTACTTTCTGCTGAAACATATGACATTCAACTTTCGCTGAGGTACGTTTCGAATTGCTAATGTCTGCTGGCAGTCAGTCATACAATTATGCGGCTACGCTTTTAGAATCTGCCCAAGTAAGATCCTTGGTTTATTCATCATCGTCCTACGATAAGATTTTAAATAGCAGCCATGTCCCAAAGAGACAATCTTTATTATCAGGAATATATATAAGTGCATCATTTCACAGCGCAACATAAGTGAATTGCATTTTTCTTTGCTCTGTGTAACTTCTGAAGAATGTTTGTTTTCTACCTGGTCAGGTGGTACGTTAAAGGTGATTGAATATCTTGTAATGTCGGGAATATCTTTAGTGATTATTTTCACGGGTAAATGTTTAGTCTCTGTCAGTGACTTGGGATTGAAATGGGTACTAAAACGTGGCATTTTGGGCTTGCATTGTGTCAGGGTGACCAGTTTGGACATTATGATTCAGAATTGCATTTGCCTGAAAACTGCTGGGAATGCTTTTGGTAACGCACGTCATTTTGATCGCGGAAGTAGAATTAAGAGTTTGGGCGTATGGTGTTTGGTCGCCTAGAAAATGAATATATTTTGGTATGGCTTAATGTTCACCTTTTTTGTGTAGAATTGATATCCGTATGCTTGATAAGTGTAATAGTGGCAGTCTAATTAAAAGGACAGAGTCTAAGGAAATTTGATTTGAAAATGGAAAACGGCGATTTATGGTTTCCAACAATAAAACCAAGACTTGCTTTCACACGTTTGTTTTTTCCTTTATTTTTCTAATAGTTGCAAGATTTTCAGACATTTTCCTGTACTTGTAAATTAACATTAACAAACCACGAAACTATTGCCACAATACAATAGAAACCCGGTCTATTAATTCTGTTCATGACGTCAACTTGCACGTACATGGTGGCCACCGTCACCTACTAGGACCCTCCGAATTTTTTTTTTTAAGATTTTTTATTATCATTATTATGTCAAATATTTATTAATTATCTTTTGCTCATTATAACTTTTTCCCAATCTTAAGCGTACTATATTGAAATAAATGACAGCGGGACCGCACCTTCTTGATATTTTAAAGACGGTAGTGTTCGTGTGAATGATTAAGTCGACGACAGCAGTTTTCTGGAATGCGAAACAACTTAATTTGAGCGGACGTCTTTCCGTGTTGACACGTCATTAATTTCGTGATATAACTCCTCACGTTGTGATGAACGTTTTTCTCCTTGCAGCGTAGGATGTGGGATCGTGAGAAACAACGAAATTATGGCAATTGTGACCGATTTTGATATGTGGAAAAGTTACTACCGTGTGCCCGTGTTTAGAAAGTTTTGTCTCTCTTATTTAAAAGCCTGCTTCATCTTGTTGCATTTTGATTATTCCCGTAGCTGGATACTACGATAACACGAACGCAGTGCTGTTTTGGAATAATCAGTTAAGTCATTCTTGTAGAAAACGTTAAGAATAGCATAATAAATGTGTCAAGATTCACTGAGGAAATAAATTCCATCATAAATTTAAGTACATTTTGTTAATTTATATATTTTTTATTTATATTTATTGTATTTAGAATGATGATAATTATAACAATAATCATATCTATGTAGAGTCTGTAATCCGAATATTTTCAATAAATAAGTCCTATAACATACATGCTAGATCCGTAAATTTTCAGGCGTAAAGTTCTTTAAAAGATATTTTATAAATATCTATTTTCAAAATTGCCAAGGGAAGCCGTACCGCGTGATTAATGTGGAAATGCATTCCTATCATATAGAGCCGTGCCGTTAAAAAAAAACGCAGAAAAAAGTGACAAGTAGCCTACGTGACCAATCTCAGGCCCGTAGCCAGCAATTTCAAAAGTGGGGTTCTTTTTCTGAAAAAGTGGACCTTTTTCTTTAAAAACTCCATGTACCTAGATTAAATTTTACCCAGAGTGGACCTTTTCTCAGCAAAAGGGGCGGTTCTTTCGAACCCCCCGGGCCTGAATCTGGTCTTGTACAGTGTTAAAACGTGACCGAAGGAGCGTAACTGGTGGAGAGGGGGCACGTAAGGGAAGACGAGTTCACTCAAGTACGGTGATGCATAAGTTTGCCGTTTAAAGAGAACCTATGCTCTTGTGGGTAACCAGCGAAGTTCTATTTGAGGATAGATGTGATGTGTCTGTCACCAGGGGTGCGGTTAAGGCCACGGGCAGAGGTATTTTGAATGCGCTGTAGACGTTTTCCCTTTTCTTGAGGACGTGCTCATAGAAAATGGAGTTGCAGTTGTCCAATCTAGATGTGAAAAATACAGTAATGACTGTAGCGGTTGAGGAGTCCATGTGATATGAAACGTGCATGGTTTTAAAATGTGTGATATTTTGACCATAGAAGGAGAGGTATCCACGTGCACTCCTAGAATTTTGGCACGAGGAGAAACATTGACCACACTTTAATAGCAAGTCTTGAGGAAGAGGTCAACCAATCAATTTCTTTTTTTGCATTTGGGGCTGTTATACGAAACGTGCGTTAGACTTTATAGCCAAATAAATAAATAAGTAAACAACAACAACAACAATAATAATAATAATAATAATAATAATAATAATAAGATTTCAACAGATTCCTCATAATCACTAAGCTAAACTCTGTCCAAAACCTTTGAGAAAATAAAGATCTGCGAAACTATTTTTCAGTTCTATATTATAATTTTGGAGAACCTTGCCCAAAATCGTAAGCTTTCATCTCAAGTATGGTTTCCAGTCTCGCAAAATATGGTAAATTACTCATGAATGAAATACTAAAGCTGAAGCTATAAGCCTACTGTAGATGGATGAGAGTGGTGCTAAGGGAGATAAAAAAGAAAGGGTAGCCCCTCAGGTTAGAAAAAAATAGCTAGAGACTAGAAAAGAAGCACTCAAACATTTCTATTTGGCCGTGAGGTGGGTCGTTGAAAAAACCTGAAGAAAGGTCTGGATTTAAGTAGGGCCTACGAAGTAAGAAACCAAGCGTTTCTTTCCACGACCTTACTTCCTCGTTTGAAGAGATACATGTACATTGTACATCGTCCAAAAAAATGCTACATACAAGAAGAGGGAATATTACTGTGACCTATAATTGCATTTTTATTAAATGTATACAAAGAAATGACGGCGAGAGTTTTAGAAAGCCATTTATTTGAGACTAACTGTTATCTTGATTCGCTCTCCTTGTTACTTTATCTCTTGGGCACCCGTGATTGGGCGAGAGCGTGAAAAAAAAACTCGGTCTCTGATTGTGCCAACAGCAAACAAATCGTGTTGAGAGTTTTCAAAGACATTTATTTGAGACTCACCTGTGTTCTGATTCGCCCACTGTTTGTTCCTATTGAGCATCGTGATTGGTCGAGACCTTGAGAGAAACCCTCGACTTCAGATTGTCACTCAGATAATGTACTTTTGGGAGCAGCGAGATGCCGATATGTACTTTTCATTTTTTTTTTCATTTTGTAGGTTTAAAACTCGATTCAAATGAAAAATTATATATGTAATGTATATATATAATCAGAAACAATCTCTTGATACACAAATGTTATTAAGATTTTGCTTCAAAACTATCCCTATACAATAGTCTAACGCATGCTTTCTGTATTTAATTTTTTTGTTTTCATTTAATCAAAGTAAAAGGAGTCTTCGCAAAGAAAAATCCGAGAAGTAGCTTTAATTTCCTGTGTGGACTCGAGGCTGCCATTGCACGTACTACCTGTTATTAGAAGTTCACTTTTTTTGATCAAAACCACACTGAAATTATTAAATTAGTGAAAAAATATTGCGCCATATTTTGATTAGATAGCGCCTCATATGTTTGCAGTGAATTGACAGCGTTAATTAAAATGTTAAGCCCCTCTTCTTATCTATTCTGTAGAAAGGCAGCGCTCACAGCCTAACTATTTCGTAATAAGGTACTGTAAATATGTAAATACTAATACCTGCAACTGGTTTGAACTCAATGAAAGGAAAACTTGTAAGCGCTGTATTGTATGAATGTTAGTCTTGATACTGACAGATCATAACTTAAATGGCAGGTTCAACCCACGTCACTTACCAAATATTGGAGATATATAATTTTTAAATAAACAATATTGAAACCCAAAATATTTTTGTCTTTTGTGAGACAATATGAAGGGCAAAAGGAAAAAAAATCAGTGGTAAACATTCAATGTGGTCGTGTTAATTTTCACATTTGCGTGTAAATGAACCTGTACGGTTTCCAGCGACATTTTCCTGCTTTCCGCTCCCAAGCCTTACACGTCTGCACGTGGCTTAGCATGTATTTCGGAAGTTTGCTTTTAGGTCTTAACACTGAAACAGGATCTCATTTCATGTGTTGACTCATAATTCAACTTTAAACTTACAATGTTACCATGGTTATCAGCTATATGAACCGCTGAGTCGTAAGGCTGTCCGCGTGCCGCACGTCCTCGTGGTGAATGATTCTCCTATGTGTAGGATGAGTGCGGTTTTAAAATGAGGTTGAAGCGACTATTTTGCACTGTTTCAGCAGGGGATGAATCCACGTCACTACTGTCACGATGCTGTCGGGTATAGTATGGAAGATGTTACGCTCCTAATAAACAGAGAAGCCACCTTCCATATTTTAGTTATGATTACAGAATTTATGTCTGTAAACATAAATACAAACGCCAGTGGGGAAAAATCATACACACACACACACTAAAGAATAATGCCAAGCTTCAGTGTATGCAATGTACACAGTGAAATACTTTATAGCAACGAAGGGAAATCAATAAAAGTAGATAAGTCTACCACGCAAGTTTCAGACATTCGAAGATAGCACAGGTTCTGTCAGTGTCAGATATCCAATCACGCCATTGAACCTGGTTCCTTATACGAAACCACCGGCCGCATAGTTCAGCAGATTAAAAAAATGAAATGTGATCAAGACTTTTTTTATTTTGGAACAGGTGTGAAGGTATAAATTCCTTAACAGTGTTTATGTTACAAGTTTAAAAGGATTTGTTCAGGACATATATCAGAATATGACGAAACTTTCACGTTTCATAAAAAAGGCGACAACCATCGGAAATCCATTTAGTGTCCTGTTAAACTAGAGATTATTTATATTCGAGGCACATAGTGCGGTTCTTTTCACCAAAATTATCTTCTAGATGAATAACCTTTACGTCATGTATGAAATATATTGCATAATGGCATTAAAATTGGAAATCATACATAGAAGGTAGAAGGTAATGAGTTCTTGAGGGTACGAAAAAAGATTATGTTTAAATATTAACTGCTGTGGAGAGTTGAATTTGCCATTATGTACGTAGTGGACAGTCGTAAAATCAAAAATGCAGCAAAAACTCGATTAATCAGTAGTTCGCTTACAACCTAAATACAATATGGAATACATAAAATGTCATTGCTACCGAGTCCTTTCATTCCCTTTGTTGCTTCAGCTAGCTTTCGTGCATTCTTTCCTTTCTTATGCATTTTCTATATTTGGCCGACCACATAGAGGATATTAATATTATTCATATTGCTCATTGTTACTGGTTTTACTCCACTCCACCATTTTTTTTTCATTTCACTGCCTTTTTGCACTTTTGAAAGTCGATGTTGGAAAGCACGTGTGCGTTCATACGATAGTACTTTCTTTTTAAAGTTCAAAACTGACATCATACTGCTGATGATTTATTAAAACGAATATTTGAATGGATAAAAGCCAAAAAGCGTTTTTCATGAGATTATACATATATATGTTATCT